GGGAAAGGTTGACTCCTCTCAGACCGCGCCACCTTAGGATCCACTGGTGCACAAAGGGTATTACTGAAGAGTTCGATGGTCTAGTCCTTTTCTGTGAGTTGAAACGACCCAATGATGGTGACGGTGTAATAGGAGAACCACCATCTGGATTTAGTTCTTTCATCACTAACAATGGCACATGCAAGATTTCGTATATTCGGGAACTGTGTCTTTTCACACAGTACCTTACCAGGAAAGGTCATTTGGTCAACCCGGCCAATTTGAAATGAGATGTATATGTGTATACGCGCCTTGGGACGCTGAGCTCAAATATGTGTTCCTTATCTGCTGAACTCTTCTCTGAAAGGAATTATGAAGCAGAAAAGCGCAGGGGCTGTGGTCGAGGCTCACGAAAAAGAGGTCAGGGGATCAACTCCCTGGCGAGTTTGTTCTTTTGCCGTTTGCAGTAAGATAGCTAGGAAGATTCCTAACATCGCTAGTCCAACATGCTTGCGTATAGTTAACAGTACAAAGAATTTAAGGGCAATTAATAACGAACTTGGGCGGCATCGCTCCTCACTACTTTGGGCGCTTGTAGCGCAGGCGCCAGGCATTTTTGCTTCGAACAAGTATGATATTCGTAATCAGGAGCCAGACTCTCCCTTTGAGCAAACTTCTAGCGAATTCTGAAATTTTGACCTAACCTCGAAAATTTGGGCAGTCACTTACTACTCACCGATCCACCAATCCATTACAAAAGGCTGGCACTTGGGTAGAATAAACCTTTTTAAACACTTTTCATAATAGACAAAAATTGTGTCTGGCTTGCCCGTCTCATCGATCAAAGCATTATTTCCTAATACAACACCTTCTCTCCCCTTTCCCCCGTCGTCCATGATTGGTCAACCCAAAAAAGTGGAGTTTGAGGAGTGGTAATCCCATCACTGCTCCGCTTTTTCTCAATTAGTTCATGACCTCAGATTTGGCGAAAAACTCGTTTTAGGGGGTAGTTTGATCCCCTGAATACGAATATCGTACCTACTTGCCACGGAAAAGCATAGCACCTGCACTACGGGCACCATGGGCACTCACAGACAAGTAGTGCTTAAACTTAAGAGGATCTGCTTGCAAACTCTTCGTAGATGTAGCGTCGGGCGACCGTTGATAAAATAACAGATTCAAAAAAGGCTTTTCAGCCATATTGGAAA